CTTGTAGGTCCATATTACGCGCCACCCTACGTAATAGGTCCTGGTGTGCCCGGAGATCTATCGGGGGCGGAGCTGTGCTCATTGTGCCCGCCACCGCCTCATCTGGGGAAGATGAGGAAGATGCCTCAGGTGGCAAGGGATCCACGGGCGGGTCCTGGTCCAATGAGCTCTGGAGCGGAGCATCACCTGCCCCTGGGTCCGGGACCTCAGGTGGTGCGGGCACGGAAGCCTCCATGCCCCCTGGAGGAGGGCGAGAGATGGTGGACTCTGGGGCCCTTCGCTCCGAGTGCACCAAGTGAGAGGCTGATGGTGGTGGAGCCCCTTGTGCCTGGTGGTACGCCCACGGGGTCCAGAACGACCAGTGCGAAGGACCTTGAGCGGGATCCTCCGCTATCTCCTGCCAGTGGCCCATGTCCGGTTCATCGGCCTGCCCCTGAGGGGGGTATGCCGATCTCGATGCCCCATCGGAGGAGCGAGACACCGATCTCGAAGGCCATGGCGGTGCCAACCGCGCCGAGATGAGCTCTGGGAGATACGGTGCCGTACGGTGCCGGTCTGGAGACGATCTGTCTCTATGCGGTGCCGGTGAGCGGTGCCGAGATCGGGATCGGTGCCGATGACCGCGTCGGTGCCGAGAGTCCGACCTGGACCTGGACGGCGATCTCGAGTAGGCCCGGTGCCGGGAGCGGCCCCTCGACGTTGAGCGTCGCTCGTATCGGTGCCGGGAACTACGTCTCGATGTCGAACGGTACCGACGATCATAACGGTGCCGGGACGTAGAACGGTGCCGCGACGATGATCTTAGCCGCGAGTACGACCGGTGCCGAGGTGATATTCAGCGCCGGGACTGCGAGCGGCGTCGGGACCTGGATCGGTGCCGTGGTTCCAGTCCTTGAGATGGTGGGCGCATCAAGGCAGGTTTCCCCCTGGATTGCACCGGACGAGGGGCCAACGGTGCCGGTGGTTGGGGCGGTGCCGGCTCCGTGAGAGCAATCAAGTCTCTCGCCGTCGCAAAGGTCTCTGGGGTCGACGGGAGGCACGGTTCCACCACTGATCGCGGTGGTGATCCCGTCTGCACCGGACTCAACAGCCTCGGAGCCGGAGTCGACTGTGCCGGAGGCACCTGCTTTTGGTGCTCCGCCGGTGGACGCGGCTCTACCCCCGGCACCGGGGGGGCCGGCGTCTTCAGGACGGCAGTCTCCTGCACCTTACGGGATTTCTTATGTCCCGGTGATAACGATCGGTGCCGAGGCACTTGCGGCGGGTGCGGTGCCGAAGGGGTCCGGTGCCGCGGAGGCTTGTCCGACGCCACTTGCGGTGCCGGGGCAGTCGGTGCCGCCGGGGCACTGCGCACCGAGGCGCTTGGCGCTGGGGCTTGACGCA